GGGGAAGAGAGGAGGGGATTTGTATTTAATGCAACCAATCGATTAGTTGCAAAAAAAAAATAGGTCAGGCAACTAAGCGATAATGAAGAGCTGCAGCCCTAGTGTATGGCTCCCTTAAAGTGTATTTAAACCCAAAAACATTTTTATCTTTGGCAGTTTATCAATCCTTAGATGTGGCCGCTGCAGTATTTTTATTTTTTTTAGGTTTTTGTTTCTTTATGGTCACCCGGTGATCCAGCCAGTCTGTTCTTTTTCAGCTTCCTTTACCAGGTCAAGCTGACCAACAAAAAGTGGCAGACAGAGGGCTGAGACAAACCACAAGAGTGTTTACAATGGTCTTACAATGGTCAGCTTTTATTTCTTTATGTGAAACTTTTATCCCAGGAGGAAAAACAAAAAAAACATTTCTGTAACTGCTTAAAAAGTCTTATCTGGCGTTCAGATTGAATTTGTTAGTCAATTCCATAGAAGTCTGCTAGTACATCTAACGCTATGATCCCCACAGGGAGGAAATGCTGCTGTCCAAAAAAAAAAAATAATCAACAAATGCAGCCACCACATCGAAGGATTGGTAAACTGCACTATATTCCATTTTTGTTTTGGGATCAGGATAGACTAAGTCATGCGTTTAGCATTTCCCTTACAACGGGTTTACTTTAGAAGCCAAGATCACCAGATTATGCTCCTGTGATGTGATCTGCTTAGCAGTAACAGAACAATCAGATCTCAGGAAGGAAGGGGTTAAGAGAACATGAGTGATCCCTGGACGCTAAGAAATGCCAAGTCATTATGGAGTCCACGTCACAGGCGTCCGCCATGTCCGTAAATTAATGTTCTCCAAGTAATTTAGACTCCTCTCAGCTTTCCAAATAATCCCAGGAGAGGTGAGAAGGACATGTATGGAGAAGACGGCCTGTCCTGTACACACCTGGAGACTCCTTACATTATCAGATTACAAATCTGCTGTCATATGTCACAGTCTTTATACTACATACCGACTGTGATGTCAGATCCTAGGATTCTCCCTAAAGGTGCCCATACACCTTACAATTTATCTGCAGATTTTCTGTGGTCAGATGGAAAAAGTGCAACAGATTCCTCCATCTACACTTAAATGTGTGGATGGAGTAATCTCCACCTGGGCCAATCTGTTGCACTTTTTCCATCTGACCACAGAAAATCTGCAGATAAATTGTAAGGTGTATGGGCACCTTTAGGCTCACTACACAGGTCACAACCTGACCATACAAGCTCTACACAAGTGCACAGTCAACTTTCCATTTCCCAAAACTTACCTGAACTGTCCAATCTGGAAGACCCTTGTGCTACAAAGTTCACAGTAGATCTAAAAGGTGATTGGACAATCCGATTGTAGCATGTGTGACAAGATAAGGCTGACCATAAACCATGCAATCTGATTCAGATCTACCATCAACTTTGTAGAATAAGCACATGTCTGATTCGATATTGTTTACATGTATCCTCATATTAGATCATTACAGTTTATCTAAAGGGGACTACAGATTATACAATCAGACGGTATAGTGTATGGCTCACTAGCCACTTGCCGATCTAACTGTGCAATGAACTTTACAGCTACCATAACTATGTTACATACGGACACACCTAATGGCTCTTAGACTGCATCTAGAAGATATCCTATTATCAGATCGTAAGGGAACTCGCAATGAAGTCTAGAGACTCCAAACGTCACGTGATGCAAGTGACTCTTACACACGCGGACACATTGCGTTAGGGGTACACAGGGGGGTCTCTGTTATCAACCCCCTCGACCCCGGAGTAAGCTCCTCTACATCTACAAGGCACCGATCACACATGATGACTGCCTTTTCTTACCAGACTCTCGATGTGTCGGACCATGGTGCCGGTCAGCGGGATCGAGTGGGAAAGTGAAAGAAGTACCGACAACCGGCCTCAGCAACCCTAAGTAGTGAAGATGGGCGGGGAGGGGCGTGGCCTGTGATGAAATACTCGATCAAAGGCGAGGCAGATCCTGAATGGGCCGCTGACCGCAACCGCCGTGCTAGGGATGCGGAAAGGGGCGTGGCATTGCGGACAAGAGGAGGGGGACGTATGGCGTCTTAAGGACGGGGCGGGCCTATGCTTCTCAGTCGGGGGGTGTACGAGAAATGCTTCGATTTCGCGGAAGGTGCGGCGCGGGAACATCTGCCAAGATGCGAATAACGGTCTCCGGCTGCAGACGGGCGCGGTCTGATAGCCCGGTGTGACCTGAAGGCGTATCTCTTTCATTGTTGTGATCGATTTCCTGTATTGTGTGACTAAGCAGGGTCATGTATTCAGTGTCAGCACAACACTCTGTATAGGAAGTGCTGTCAGTAATGGCGGATTCATCTGCCTCAGCGTGTGACCGTATTTTCATGCTGTGTAGGGATGCTGAGAACGTCTCACCCTGTTAATAATGCATGGGATATTTAAGTAGATTGAAACAAAATCCCTAGACTCTAAAGCTATAACTTGGAATAGCTTTTCAAACTGTTTAAATCTGCCTATTTCATAAATTGCTGTTGCTGGCACTTTAAGAGGTTAAGGCATGAAGTCATGTGATTGGCTGTCACAGTGATTATGTGATCGGCAACCCAATTGCAACAATAGTTGATCCTGCCATGACTATAACAGGAAGTGGCTGAACTAATATAGCATGTTATTCATCTGAGTTGCCCCACTGAATATGGCCGCCGCTTGAGTTGGGCAACTCAGATGTATAACGTGCTGGATTAGTGTGATCCTAGTTCATTTTAATACTTTATTGCTGTGTTGTATGTGTATAGGGAAATGCCGTGGGTGGCGAACGTGCAGTAGAGCCTTCTTGGCCAAACCTCTTAGTTCTAACTAAACCGGAAGTCGGGCAGTTGGAGATCTCGATAAGTTGGAACTTTCGATAGAACACTGGTCTAATTGCCATGTTCTCAATGGAGACTACACACTGGCCATTAGGGGGTTCAGTGGAAATTCTAGGAATTTTAATTTATTTTTGTGTGTACACAGCAAAAGTCCAATAAGTTGTCTTTACACTGGCATGTCAAACCCCCTTCCTGTCCATGCCATTTCGATGCTGAGATACTTTGACATTTACTCAGGCATGCAACACTGTACCCAAATTAATGTTTTAGTCTTTTTCTTCATGCTATTTATAGGGGGAAGTATTGGGAGAGCAAACTGTTCTTTTCCCAATACTTAGAGGTGGCGTGTGACACTGCAGCTGTCACATGCAGCTGTACAGATTATGAACTGAGCAATCACATACCGCTGATCACTAAGCTCACAATCTTCTCCCTGCAGATTCTAGACCCAAAAGAGAACTAAAGGCAAAACAAGGTTTGACTTTAGGGCTCGTTTAATCACCACTGGGTTTTATTTTATTTTTTTACTATTAAAGGAGAACTATGGGGTTAGGGCTTTTCCCCATAGTTCTCCGAAGGGAAACAGGAGGACACAAACTAGCGTCCTCCCGTTACCCAAAGCTCAGTATACCGCCAGCTATGGTGCTTGCTGGTTATCAGGACACACCGCAGCTGATCCTGACAATTATCTCTGGATCCGCCCAGCTGCATGAGTGACAGCTGGCTCTGCCTATCTAGAGGCAGAGCCAGCAGTACCCTCCCTCGTCCGTTCCGCCAGTCAGCGCTGGAGGATCGGACAGGGGAGGGGAGAATGCAGTCACTCCCCTGTCATGGCTCTCTTCAGTGACAGGATCGAGAAGTGAGCGAGCGCCGGTATGTGTTCGCTCACTTCCCGATCTACTAAGCCGACCATTGTCATTGTCACAGGTCGCTCAGATTATGAGGCTGAGTGAAAATCAACACTAAATAATAAAAATATAAAATCCTTTAATAAAAAATATTGAAAATGTGAAAAAAAACCCCAGCTCTCATTCAGCAAAGGGAACATTAACAATAGGATCTATTTCCTCTCCCCATGTTCTTTTGCAAAACACCTCGAGGGGAATTTATCAAAACTGGAGCAAACAGAATTTGGAGCAGTTGCCCATGGCAACTAATCAGCATCCACCCTTCAATTTCAAACCTAAACTCAATAGAGAAGCTGATTGGTTGCCCTGGCAACTACTCCAGATTTTTCTCCAGTTTTGATAAATTCCTCTCCTTTGTGTTCATCCAGCACCAGTGTTCTGATCTCCAGTCCCACCAATGAAATGTAGTACCAGTATCCTGATTACAAGGCAGCACCAGTACCAGTGTCAGCCAGTACCAGTGTCCTGATTGCTGCCAGCCAGTGTATCTAGTGTTGTATAGTACTGTGTCCTGATAACCAGCAAGCACCATTACCAATGTCATTAGGTACCAGTGGCATCCTAGTATTAGCCTGTACCTGTATCTTGATCGCCAGTCAGCACCAGTACTTTTTTGATCACTGTGACGTCTTTGTCCAATAAAAAGGAAATATTCATCTTTACTGCTGAGTGCTGGTGATCTGCTTCTTTCTTCAGACTGGCTTAATCGGCTAACTAATCGATTTTGAAAATAATCGTTAGCTGCAGCTCTACTCTGGAGTGACGAATCACGTTGCTCTGTCTGGCAATCTGGTCTGATGAATGGGTTTGGCGGTTGCCAGGAGAACGGTACTTGCCTGACTGCATTGTGCCAAGTGTAAAGTTTTTTTTTTGGGGGGTGGGGTAATAGTTACATAGTATTTGAGGTTGAATAAAGACAAACGTCCATCATGTCCAACCTATTTTGGGGTGTGGTTGTTTTTCAGGGGTAGGGCTTGGCCCCTTAGTTCCAGTGAAGGGAACTCTTAAGGCATCAGCATGCCAAGACATTTTGGACAATTTCATGCTCCCAACTTTGTGGGAACAGTTTGAGGATGGCTCCTACCTGACATGACTGCGCACCAGTGCACAAAGCAAGGTCCATAAAGACATGGATGAGCGAGTTTGGGGTGGAGGATTTTGACTGGTCTGCACAGAGTCCCGACCTCATCCCGATAGAACACCTTTGGGATGAATTAAAGCAGAGACTGTGAGCCAGTCCTTCTCATTCAACATCAGTACCTGATCTCACAAATGCGCTTCTGGAAGAATGGTCAAACATTCCCATAGACACACTCCTAAAGCTTGTGGACAGCCTTTCCAGAAGAGTTGAAGCTGTTATAGCGGCAAAAGGTGGGCCAACTCAATATTGAACCCTACGGACTGGGATGCCATTAAAGTTCATGTGCATGTAAAGGCAGGCGTCCGAATACTTTTGGTAATATAGTGTGTGTATATGTATGTATGTATGTTTTTATATTATATTCACTGACAAGTAGAACTGCAGCTAACGATTATTTTCAAAATCGATTCGTTAGCCGATTTATGGAGTTCGGTTAATCGGATAAAATATAAAATAAAATACATTTTTAAAAATGGCTCCATTGATTGGACTACTAGTTTGTATTGAGATTGTAGTCCATCAGTTTACAGGGGAATTACACTGAAAGCATTATTTACAGTTCTCAACTTAAAGAGACACATTGTATATACATTGGGGAACACTGCAATTAGGGATGTCCCGATACCACTTTTTCAAGACCAAGTAGAAGTACTTCCCCTCATGTACTTGCCGATACCAATTACCGATACTTTAAATGATCCATAGTACATACACAGTACACACGTTCAGTACAGTGCAGTCTGCAGCAATAGAATTACAATTCTCCCCTGCTAACATGAATAGGTTAATTCATGATCCATAGTACATACACAGTACACACGTTCAGTACAGTGCAGTCTGCAGCAATAGAATTACAATTCTCCCCTGCTAACATGAATAGGTTAATTCATGATCCATAGTACATACACAGTACACACGTTCAGTACAGTGCAGTCTGCAGCAATAGAATTACAATTCTCCCCTGCTAACATGAATAGGTTAATTCATGATCCATAGTACATACACAGTACACACGTTCAGTACAGTGCAGTCTGCAGCAATAGAATTACAATTCTCCCCTGCTAACATGAATGGGTTAAATGATCCATAGTACAACTACATATTATGTACTATGGATCATTTAACCTATTAATATTAGCAGAGGATAATTGTAAATCTATTACTGCAGCGTATTGGGAATATGTACTGTATATATGTACTACATATAGAATACACTGCAGTAATAGAGTTACAATTCTCCCCTGCTAACGAATGGGTTAATTGATCCATAATACAACTACGTGTTATGTACTATGGATCATTTATGTACTACATATAGGCAGGGGAGAATTGTAACTCTATTACTGCAGTGTATTCTATATGTAGTACATATATACAGTACATATTCCCAATACGCTGCAGTAATAGATTTACAATTATCCTCTGCTAATATTAAGAGCTTCTTAGTAGGGACCCCCCTTGCCCTCACTCACTGCTCGATGATGGCTGGTGCCTCACGATGTGCCTCGCTGGTGAGGTCGTAGTCAGCGCTGTGCGGGAGAGCAGCGGCGAGTCAGGGCTGGTCTGGTGGGAGGAGCTCTAGGTGGGGTCCTAATCTAGCTGGCCGGCGACTGCCCGGTCGCTGGCCAGCTAAATTAGGACCCCACTTGGAGCTCCTCCCACCAGACCAGCGCTGACTCGTCGCTGCTCTCCCGAACAGCAGCCGTAAGGTAATGGGGAAAAAAAGTAGCGCAAGCTTCGGCGCTATGTATCGGGGCATTTTGACAAGTACTTGTCAAAATGCCCTGTATCGGTCCCGATACCAATGCTAGTACCGGTATCGGGACATCCCTAACTGAAATCATAGAGGGGGGTTGCACTTTCTATTTTGGATATTATGTGTTGACCTTCATTCATCCTCAGAGGGCCCTGCGGATATGTTTTAGATGGTTTTAAAGGGTTTTCTGTAACAATAAAATGTATTTTTGTATAAAATAATAAGATTATGATCAATGTCTGTCAAGTGTTCCTCAGGTGACATAGATGTTTA